AAGTTAGCTACAAAGACTGTCCACAGAATAGCGTGACTTGTAGCGCCACCGCCATTACGAACGGTTGGAATCTGTAAAACATACTTCCCACTTGTCCTATGTCACTTGCACTGCTGTTTGGTAGTGTCAATAGAACGTTTGGGGTGAAGTTAGCTACAAAGACTGTCCACAGAATAGCGTGACTTGTAGCGCCACCGCCATTACGAACGGTTGGAATCGGTAAAACATACTTCCCACTTGTCCTATGTTACTTGCACTACTGTTTGGCACTGTCAAGAAAACGTTTGGGGGTGAAGGAAACGAGAGGCTAATTACCACCTTGAATTCCATCTTCTGATTGGACGACTGGATGACATTTTTGACAGCAGTTATTGAGGTTAGGTATTCAGTATTTTTGTGTTTTGTTTTGTTGTTGTGAACCTCCTGTTAAAAATATTTACTCAATACTTCATTTTGGTTTATTTTGTGTTTTTTAAATTATATTAAAAATGTCCAATGTGTTTCATTTGTAAGAAACCTTATTCAACAATATGTGAGATAAACAATTTCCATATTTTACATACTGACACCTACCAGACACTTAACTACTTATCCCCTCATTTTTTTTTACCTTCATATCCTTGTAATTTAGCAATAAGCAGATCATGGTTAACTCTGTGGAAGACTTTAGAATGGTCTGTGTAGATAGCATCATTTGGAGACCCTTATGTTCAATTGAATTAGTATACAGTATTAAGTTTGTGCATGTAGAGTTTTGGCAAAGCCATGTTGTTAACCTGAATTTTATAATACCTATATAGTGATATATAGGTTTTTAACATAATGTAATTTAGTGATATAATTTTACAATCAATATATTGGTATAATGTTAACATGTAATAAATAAAAATAAACATAATTTATTTATTTCATCATTTTTTAATATATAAGGTTTAACCTAAAACACTTAAATAAAATATTCTACATTACTGAGATAAAGAGTGTTTAATTACACAAATACATAATCTTATTGTTTGGCTCATTTCACATGAATGTCTTTAATCCCCTAGATTTTTATTTTTGGGGGAAGACCTATCAACCAAACATATTTCTGAAGGTTAGGAGAAAATTTTTCTGATATAATTCAAAAATGTTTTGAAATGAAAGGAGGCGACTTTGACAATGTATTAAATTGATTTATTGTTACAAGTAGTCTAAATAAATATTTTTTTGAATGGTATTGTCTTTTGTATCCAATCATTTTATTAACAAGCTCGAGATCTGAAAATTTACCAAGGAAAATTGTTTTAGTATAATAAAAATTATAATTATGATTTTTATGAACTAAAACATCAAAAATCATTTGAAATGGAATTTACTAAATGTATAACTTTATTAGTGACATAGTTATGACTAGTGGAAAATGGAATATAGCAATAAAATAAGATTATGTATTTTAAACATATCCTCTAACACAAATACATAACTTGAAAACTACTTACTCTTTTACATTGAGACAAAAGGTTGATATTTATGTAAAAAGTAATGAATAATCAAAAAACATGATGTAATGATTATTACAACAGCAGCATAGATTATGGGAAAAAAAGGAAGTATTTAAAATCCATATAGAGAATATGAAGATATCATATTGTTGCGAACTGTGTTTTTTATTTTAAACATAACATTTTAAAATAAAAATGTTTATATATTGTTAAATACAAACACATAAATCATGTATGTTACAATTAACTACAAACATGACACAATAAAATAAAAATATATTATAACCTGGCCTAAAAGTTTTGAAACCCCTTAGAGAGTATGAAGAAATGTTATTACTGCAAATTTTGTATTATAAAATTTTTAAATAAAAATATTTTTGATCAGCTTGATCATTATGATCAGAATTTGATTGATATTTCGCAATTAAGGTATCATTTTATTAACAATATATTTATATTAATTACTATTAAACTGGGAATAAGCCACAATTAAAGATAAAAATACGTTTATTGACACAGTATTGAAACAGTAAATTTACTGTTTGTATTTTGAGAACGATTTCCGAAGTGGAAATTGAAACGTCAATAAACGTATTTTTATCTTTAATTGTGGCTTATTCCCAGTTTAATAGTAATTAATATACAATGCCACAAGAAAATAGCTTCAGAACAATATATTTATATATTGTTAAATAAAAAAAACATAAAACCTGTATGTTACAATTAATTGCAAAAAGGTCAAAAGAAACAAATTTAAAATATATTACAAAGTGGTTCAAAACCCTTAGAAAATACTAAGAAATATTGCGATAAACTTTGTGTTATAAAATTGTTATATAAAAATGTTTATAATTTAATAAGCATTATACCATATATATTATATACGTTACAATCAACTAGAAATTCAAAAATTAAATCAAACCTAAAACATACTACAATACAAATACACCTAAAAGATACTACTACAAAGAACAATGTTTATAACACAGACATTACAACTTTTTAGAAGTTTTATAGAAGCTTTGGGGAACCTGACATAAAATTCATTAATATAGCAAGGCTTACATGGATAGAGCATTTAATCAGGCAAAAGGTAGGTGCAACAGTTAGAAAGGTTTTTGACAAAACAGGGCTGATATGACAATGAGCCAGAGGAAGACCAAGATTTAGGTATAGAGACAACCTAGAGGATAATTTAAAATCTATTGGAATTAGAAAATGGAGAAGAGTTGTCAGATACAGCGGTCAATGGAGGATTGTTCTGAAGAAAGATGTGATGCCACTGATGATGATAATGATACATTGTCACAAACTATCTACACATTGTTCTAAAGTCCTCAAATCTGTCAGATTATAATATTTTAAAATATTCCCATTTTACTGTGCCCTTATTGATTGCCTTTTACAACTTCTTGTCTTTTTTTCTTTTATGATTGTAAATTTGCTCCTGTACCAAACTTCTCATGCCTCGTTTACATTTGAGAAAACAAACCTTTTTAGTTTTAGCTAGAGTTTGTCAACTTGTTCCTGTAAGATAAGAATTTTTTGTTAACATTATCAAATGTCTTTAGACAAAGTCAAAGAAATTTTTAAAATAGTGCATTAAAATAAAATATTTGTACCTGTTTCTGCAATTTTCTCTACTTCAATATTAAGCGGCTGGTACAGTTCAACTGGATCAAAACTGTAATCAAAATAAACAGTTTGTCTTTATCCTTCTACAAATAATTTTTGGTTGGTACTCTCCAATAAAACTTGTCCTCTACTTTGAAAATTCATTATAGATTGTAGTGGAAAACAGCATGTAAAATACATAAAGTAACAGCTTTCTAATAAAACAATCTCTTACCAATTGAGGTAGCTGTTGATGTAGATGGCCCTTGTATTGGGCAATCAAATGCATTAAAAAAAATAAGTAACACAGCTTCTCTCTATAAGACATTTCTCTTTAAGTATAATATTTATTCAACACTTTGCTGCAGCCCGATTGATGTAATCTAACCGGCGACCTGCTATTTCTATAACTCAAGGAAATATCATTTTTCATTTTCATATATTTTTTTCCTAAACAAAACTTCAATAGGTCACGTGACAAAATCGTCGAATAAAAAGATAGAACATACTGATTACCTAACCTCACTAACTGATGTCAAAAATGTCATTCAGTCGTCCAATGAGAAGATGGAATTCAAGGTGGCAATTAGCCTCTCGTGTGAAACGAAAGAACGTCCATAGAACAGCGTGACTTGTAGCGCCACCGCCATTAAGAACGGTTGGAATCAGCAAAACATACTTCCCACTTGTCCTATGTCACTTGTACTATTGTTTGCTTGTGTCACGTTGCGATAAAGACAGAATTAAAACAGGCTGGAAAGCGGACTCTTTTCAGTGGAAAAAAATAAGGGGGCAAGAAAGTGAAAATTACACTTACTACAATTAAGAAAATTTTAAAGAGATCGTTTATGTTAGCTTTATTTATGATTTTTGTAATGGAATAATGAAATTTGGAACTTGCTTCATCATATTAAACTTATAAGCCACCAAAAGGATTATTTTATGTCAAAACAATTACAAAAAAATACCTATCCCGCCTGATATTACACTTTAGTGAGTGAAAGTTTTTATTTAACTAATTACTACTTATCTCTATAATATACTAAAAAGGAATATCTAGTACATCAAACCACATTTAGTGCGTGATAGGATGTCATTTTCTGAGAATTTATAAAACTTTAATTCGGCCAATAGCATGTTATGGCAGCGAAGCATGGGTCCTGAAAGAAACATCCAAAAACAAACTCGACACATTCGAAAGAAAAGTACTGAGGAGAATACTAGGACCTGTGAGGGAAAACGGAATCTTCAGAATTCGATATAACAACGAGCTCTATCAACTGTATAAGGAAACACCCCTGTCAGACTTCATTAGAATACAAAGATTGCAATGGGCCGGACATGTGATACGAATGGGAGAGGATAGGCTACCAAAACGAGCACTGAACGCCAGAATGCAGGGAAAGAGACCAGTTGGAAAGCCAAGAAAGCGCTGGGAAGACACAGTAAGCAGCGACGCACAAGCACTTTTAGGAGTCCGTGTATGGAGAAGAGCAGCCACAGACAGACAAGGGGGGAGGCAAAAAATAAAGGAGGCCATGGCTCATTTTGGGCTGTAGTGCCGTAGAAGAAGAAGAAGGATGTCATTTCATGACATCCGTGATAGGATGTCACATGGATTAAATTAATAGGCTTTAATACTCACCGAAATACATTTTCTGTATTGGAATGTCTTGTAGTACAACCTAATCGAACCAATTGTATACAATAATTATTCTAAACCACAAACCTAAAAATTAAGCAATATTATATTACAAAACTATGTTTTATCTAATTATGATTTAAAAATATACTAGTATAAGTTAAAAAGGTCATTTTTCCACCAGTAGATTATATTACTTTACTCTTACAAAATTCCATATAAATATTAAACATCACAAGAACCAAATAAAATTCCAACCATTTTTTTGTCCCCTTATTTGTTTCCCCACTAATTTTAAAAAAATCGCCTTCACTTATTTTTGCAGAGATTTCTTTCACAATCTGACAACAGACTACAAGAGTTGAGCTATATTACTTATTAAAAAACCAATGCAATAAATGGGAAAAAAACTTACTTTCTGTGACATTTAACTCTCTGTTGACTTTATTTTTTAATCTGTTCTATGATCTCTTAATACAGGGTGAGGAAGGAAAGGAAAATGATTGTAAATTGGTTTAAAAATAATTTAATTTTAACTACTACACAAATAGTTTAAGGAATGAATAATAAAAATAGCTCTATAGCCTCTACAACAATTTACCATATAGAAAAAATAATACTATTTGTAGGAATAGAGCAGAAAAATACTTTAAGTCAATACTTTCGAATTGGTTTAAGTAAAAAATATAAATCGCTTAAAATCCACAGCAAGTTGGGTCAACAGAACAATTTCTTGGCCTTCCTCTGCTGAATATGGTGAGCAATTGACATCGTACCCTAAAACAACAAAAAACAATGATATGGTTCACAATACAACTAGATTATTACAATCGGCGACATAACAATTAACATTCTCTTTTATTGTATCCCTTTTATCCCCAAATAGGGTTACCTTTCCTACTTACGAGGGTGTGTTGAAAAGTTCTTAGTCTACTGCAGAAGCTAACAAAATTTGACAGTCAAAGTATTTTATTATTCAACAAACTCTCGTCTTATGGATACATAACAATAATAATAAATATAATATGATATAGGAGGACAAATTCGTTAAACTTCTCGTGCTCGAATCGGTATCAATAGAGTGTTATGACTCACTTCAGCGTGCCCTGCTTCATCAGACTTTCGGGCTGATACAAATTCAGAGGCGGAAAGTCAAACGAATGTCTCCTAAAACTTGACCACTGCAGTCTTCCCACCTGCTGATTTTATTTTTGCAAAGAAAATCTTTACCAAACGTTAAAATTTTCGCCTGGAATTCTATTTTAAATGTGGTAGGCATATTTAATTTCTAACCTATAACAAATAATAAAAAATGAAAATTTATAAATGAATAAATTCAGACAATTCATAAAATTAAGCAAAATTTCTCAGATAAGAGATTTTAAGGCGCTGAACACGAATCTTAAGTTAACTTTGTAAAATTCAAAATGGCGTATCCAAATTGGCGGATAAAATTTTCGAAAAACCAATATATTAATGCAAAACTTTTATATATACGAAAGTATAAGTCTACCTAGACATACATTGAATGACAATATTCCAATAAAATAAGAGCATACATATCTAGCATAAACAACAGTACAGATTTATCATCCGTTTGGAAAAAAGTTAAAAAATAACAGGACAGCACACCTACCAACAAATTGTAAGTCTGGAGAACGAAAGAACGTTACTAACTGACCCACAGGATATAGTAAATAAACTAGCTGATACCTATCAAAAATTCTCATCCAGACAAATTAACAGTAACGAGCTCCTAACCTACAAACAAGAGAAGGAGACAGTACCTATTACAATCTCTGACGATTTCAACCCAATCAATACACCCCTTATTTATGGGTAGTTTCAAGAAGCACTTAATAGCATGAAAGACACTTCATTAGGTCCAGATGACATACCAATACAATTTATTAAAAAACTTCCCATAGTAGCAAAAGAGTTTCTGCTCAAAATTTTTAATATTATTTGGTCACAAAAATCATTCCCAAAAATCTGGAAAAATGCCATCTGGAAGCAGCCGACTGAAATGCCAAAGAAGCCATAAATGATAACAGTACCCAAATGTCTCTCCAATCTGTTGTATGGATCTAGAGAGCTACTTTATGAAACATACTTTCGAGATCTGGGAAAATAAATGGAAATCCACACCATCAAAACTTCAAGAAATAAAAAATAAAATTGGACCAGGGCAACATTAAATGGCATGGCAGAATTAAATACCATTTACCAAACAATCTTAAAGACATATTACACTCAAATAACAATATTGATAAACTACTTTTGTTATTAAAATATTGTAATTTAATAAGCACAGTGTAATTAATTGTTACCTTATTAGGTTAAAGTGGGTTTTTTGTAAATAAAAAATAATAATAAGAGGAATGTTAAAAATGCTGAATATTAAAATAAAAATAGAAGAAAATGGAAAAAAGCAAATAAAATATATAATATCGTAAAAGTTACAGAATTTGATGAATATAAAATCAGCATTAACAAATTAACAGCGGTTACTTAAGCAGCATTAACTTCCACAAATGGTTTTGAACTATATACCATAAAGCAAACCAAAAGGAGAAGAGGTAAACCAATTGTAGTGTCTTAAAAATGTGTAGAGAAATTAAAAAAGGAAGAAAATACTTACTTTGCACGTATATTAATTTGGTGCTGTACTTCTCCATCACAGTTCCATTTGCTATTCCCTTCAATAGCCCTAAAACAAAATTCTCGCGCGCATAAAGTCTCCACGAAAGGCAAATCTTCGATAGAAGGTTCGTTGCTGGACAACCTCAACAGCAATCTGACATTATTTAATACGGAAGTATGTTTAACCAACACCAAATGAACCATACCATCCCCTAAATGACTAAACGGGGCTATGCCCTTTGGACTTCGGCTGCACGCACAGCTTATGTTAGCACCAGTAACCATAAAGAATTTCCCAGACAACGTCTGCCATTTACAACCTAGTTTATTCATTTTTAGATCTTTGCTGTTTTCACATTTATCACAATTTTCATGGCAAGGGATGTCTTGAACAACACCGTCATTCTCCGAATACACAGCTAATTCTCCGTAGTAACCTCTGTTACTCACTAACTTCTTGAAACCTGCAACAAATATTTATTTATCATTACTTACAAATAGATGCTCAAATATTTTATATCTGGATGAAACACATATAACATAATGAAGGAGATTTTGTAAGTAAAATTTGGAAAGATAACCAGGTTATAATTGCTGTCAGGAACTTACTGAAGGTCTTTCTACTGTATTAAAATTCCAATTGGTAATGGTCGTCGTAAATCTGTTCCTAAAGATAATTCATAAGACAGTTTACAAGCTATGTGAAAGTCAAATTTCTCCCAACCAATTCGGGTTCACAAATGCTGTTGGTACTACAGAGGCTTTGTTGTCTGTTGAAAGACTTTTACAGATAGAAAACAAGTTATCTATTGAGGATCATTCTTCATCTCCAAAATTTACAGATACCATAGCAAATAAAGCTGTTTCTATATAATCTAGCTACTTTACATTCCAAATTTAATGGATTTTTATGCAACATTCAAAATATATATCCTCACATAATTCTTATCACTGAAACATGGTTAACACCAAATGATCTTGACTCTTTATAACATTGATAATTATTCCCTTTATAGGTGTGATCGTCGTAATCGACGTGGAGGAGGAACTTGTATCTACTTGTCTTCAGAAATTATTGATAATTTCTCTGTTACATCTCTTGATATTACTGTCCCTAATATGGAACTTCTTTGCTTAAAAATATGTCATAAAAACTCTTTTGTTTTTCACTTAGTATGTGTTTATCGGCCTGGTGATTCTAGATTAGCAGATGATGAGTCCCTTATCGTATCACTTGATGAACTGTCTAGGCTAGAGAATCTGATTGTTATTGGAGACTTTAATATCCTATATTAGTGGGGATATATCCTAGATTAGTGGGGAAGTCCTTGCCAGTACTTTTTCTCTGTCAAACCCACTAATCATCAGTTGCCTAATACTACTTCGTTACGAGTTTCTACTTCCCTTAAATATAATCATTACTCCTGAAAAAGTTAAAACATCATCTTCAAAGCCTAAAAAATAATTCGTCTCCTGGTCTCGATTTAATATCTTCTTTATTTTTAAAGAAATGTTCTGATGCTTTAGTTCATCCACTATATATGATTATTTCCTTATCATTCACCACACATATTTTGGTGGATCTATATGGAAAACCGCATCTGTAATCCAGATTTTTAAAAAAGGGAACAAATTGGATACTAATAACTATCGTTCTATCAGCTTAACACCTATAATATCTAACATAATGGAATCTATTATTGCCGAGACAATTCCTGTTTTCTGCAAAATGAACTGGTTATACCAGAACAGCAGCATGGTTTTGTCAAAGGACGTTCGACCCCGGTAGACATTATTTACCTTGATTTTGCTAAAGCTTTTGATAGAGTTCCAAAGCGAAGACTATTACATAAATTGGAACACCTTGGTATGCGTGGTCAATTATTGAAGTGGATCGACGCGTATGTAACAGATAGAAAGTTTTGTGTTAGGGTTGGGGACTCTTTCTCAGTTGAGAGAACGGTTTTAAGTGGGGTATCGCAAGAATCAGTTTTGGGACCACTTTTATTCATAGCATACTCAAGTGATCTACAATTTCACATTAAATGCAACAAAGCTTTCTATGCAGATGATACGAAGCAATTTTCCGATCCCTCCGTAAATTTCCAGTTACTAGAAGATGACCTTGATTGCATATCGGAATGGTGCTCTACTTGGATGCTGCCTCTTAATGTGGACAAATGTGTAGTTCTTCACATGGGTAAAAATAATCCGGGTCTTCCTTACTCTATTAATGGGCGCGTGTTAAAAACAGTTGGTCGGAACATATTTTGCATATTTCTAAAAAAGCTAACAGTAAATTATATCTACTAAATAAAACGTTTGTGAAAGTGTCATAAATGAGCTCAGTTCATGTGTATAAACTGTACATTCGTCCAGTTCTGGAATATTGCGGAACTGTTTGGTTTCCGGTATTAGTGCGCGATCGTAATATTCTCGAATACGTACAGCGGCAGTGCACTAGGATGTCTTTTGGTCTCTCAAGACCTACGTATAAAGAAAAACTGAATATGGAATATCACTACATTTGAACAACGTCGACTTCGAGGCGATTTAATTTTTACGTTTCGGAGAGTAAAATACAACTTTGGAAATGTGGGGGATATGTTTATATTAGACAATGACAATCGTCTTCGTGGCCACAAACTTAAGTTTAAAAAGAAAACTTTTTTAACAACAACTAGACAATTTTTTCTCTGTAATCGAGTGTTCTCGATATGGAATAGCCTTCCGGCTGAGATCATAGATGCTCCATCTGTCAATATTTTCAAAAATAAACTGGATGACCATTTGCTGCATAGTTGAACATTTAATTTGTACTAAGCACTTGCTATTACCTATGTTTTCGTGTATTTATTTAGTTAGTTAGTGCTTAATATGTAACTACTGTAATGTAACCATTTAATTGCACACTATATACCATTGTATTCGCATGGGCATATGGGTTTTATGACCCCTGCTCAAATTTATTGTAAAATAAATAAATAAAAAATAAATATGTCCCCTACAAGCCATTCTGCATGAATGCAAATTATCAGAAGACAAAAAAACAAGTGACCAACAAGATGACAAGTCAAAAAATTGGTTGTATGAGAAATGCTGTGATACAGATTATCGGAATTTAAACAACTCATAAAAAGATTAAAAATATCACCAGAAGTTGCAAATACCACCGTAATTATCAACAAATTATACAATCTTATGTACTTTTGCTTAATTATATAAAGGACTCATCAATAAATGCATTAACAGTGAGTGTTTCCATTTTGTTGCCGTTATATGGCTTTATTCCAATTTGCAAAGAATGCTTTCGTTTTGTTATGAGCAATTCTCTTAGTCACCACTATTACAAAAACAACAAAGAAATATTTTTCATATACTTTTTAAAAATATATGATAGAACCTAAGGCATAATATGTAATTTTTATTTCTTTAATCAAACACATGCGGTTTTGATTTGATACGTGATATATCAGTTTGATAATAATATCTACATCAAACTATTATTGGCTAGTAAACAAAGTTCTAATTTTGTATTTTTATTGGGGTTTTTCATATTCGCCGAGGAAATGAAATGAAACTTTCAAACTCTTCCTGCTAGTCATTTTTTCCAGGAGTTCTGAGCCAGTCCATCTCATCTCCTGTAAAGCAAGGATGTCTGTTTTGGCTTTTCGAATTTGCTGTATTAGTACTGCTGTAGCTCCAGGTTGATAAAGACATTCCACGTGCAAATAGTCTTCTTCTTCTTCTTCTTCCTTTATTGGGTAATATCAAATGGGATAATTTGCCAACTTGCTCAAGACAATCGAATATCACCATATAACACTAAATTGAAATTATTTTTTATCGAATGAACACTATGTTGAAACATTTTCTTCTTGGGCCAAACAGTTAGTATAGGAAAGACAATACAACACGGAATAAAACTTTTCTTGCTTGGAGGTAGCAATCAAGCTGAACAAATATCAGAAATGCTACCAACGGATGATAGTCAGAGAACCTAGGTGTGAAAAAAGAGAGGAATTTGTAAGGTTATGTTATATTAGAACATAAGAAATCAATATATTATAGATTGATTTTGGCTAGATTAAGAAAAGTAATCAACAAATTTAGTCTTTGACGATTAAGATTGGATAGGAGAGAGCAAAAGTTTTAACCAATTCTTTGTAGAGGTCAAAATTTGGAGAAACGTTTATTGGACACTCTAGGATAATATGACTCAGAGATCCAATTTGACCACATTCACAGTATAGGTTGTCCCGAATACCTATGCGGAATAAATGAATGGGAGTGGAACAATGTCCTGTTCTCATTCTAATTACTGTGGTGATATGCCTTCTATCTTTATAAGAAAATTGATTGAATCATGGTGATTTGTTCCATTCATTGACTATTTTACTATAAAATGACCCTTTTGATCGGTTTGAATTCCATTCTTGTGCCCATCGAGTCCAAATTAGCTTTTTAATATAAAATAAGTAGTTTGAATAATGCAATTTAAGAATACGAATAGTAGGAGACAACAAAACATACTGGAGATATCATAGGCTTATGAAAGACAAGAACGTATCCAGAAATACAAAACTGAAAATATGCAGAGTTACAATCAGAGCAGTAGTTACGTACGCAGCTGAGACAATGTGCCTCACGGCAACAGATGAAGAAAAACTGAGAATTTTCGAAACTAAAATCCTCAAGACGGATTATGGGCCCCATAAGAATGGACAACGGAGAAATGAGAAGAAGAATGAACCATGAACTAAGAGACATAATGAAGGGAGAAGATATTGTTAGATTTATTAAAACACAGAGGCTGAGATGGCTGGGACACATAGAGAGAAGGAAAACGACCTACTGATTAAGAAGATCACCAGATGGAAACCAGCAACTGAAAGACCAAGGGGAAGACCCAGAGAGAGATGGGAGGACCAGGTCATGAGAGATATCAAAATTCTGGAAGTGAGAAACTGGAGGGAATTATGCATATATCGAAATGAGTGGAAGAAAATTGTAACGAAAGCCAAGTCGGAGTGATTCACCGCAATAAGCGAATCAGAGAGCTTTAAGTAATAGCGGCAAACATTTTACCCAGAATAAAAAGCCCTGATGACGAGTTTCGGTAAGAAAGACTGTCAAAAATTAGTTTTATTATTAATATCATAGAAAAAATCCATATTTGTATTAGCCAGCGCACGTTGAGTGACCATTTCATCTGCTCTTATTAGTTCCGACCCAACTCTCCATTCGGATTGGTTATTTCATCTCCAGTTGTGTTCAGTTTCCCAAGGGGCACCAGCGTGAAGGAAAAAGTCGGATTTGAGTAGAAAAGGCTAATTAGAGTAAACGGGAAGGAACTCATTTTGAACGTTTTATCATTCTACTCTTTTACCCCACGATATCGATATTAGTCGGGATGAAATGTTCAAATTTACATCACATTTAACATACTTTGTTTGATATACAA